GTTTGCGAGTAGGCACTTTGCGAATAGTGGAACGCGCTCGGTTAGAGAAGGCCTTCTCAGCAGGCTCAGAGTCCTCGGGCCTCCTGACAAGTGTTCTACGCCTGCCCGGACAAACCTCTCGGAGGGCCGGGGGGGGGGCTTCTGAGAAGCCCCGCCGCCTTCTGAGAAGGCCTTCTTCTTAACACTTCCCCCCCCCTCCTGGAGGGAGAACAACAAAGGCGGCATAGACATGAACTTTTGGCGCTCCGCGCGGGCTCCTTGGCTCTGCGCCGCCATGGGGGCGGCCCAGCGCCGTTCCAAGACATCCGCGCGGAGCGTCGAAAGCTCATGGTCCGGCAGTTTTGTCTGCCTCGGCCCTCGCTCGCCGCCGACGGTGGCCTGGGCACGTCGCTGGGCAGCTCTTTCTCGCGCCTGGGCCCTCTGTTGAGCAGGGACCGACCGTCCCGGCATTCCCACAGTCCTACCACGAAGTGTTCTTAGAACCCAAGAGCCGTGCTAAGAACAGAAACATATGTTCTCAGAACATAAAAGCCCGATGTGTTAAAACGAGACAGTCCCAGCCAGAAACGTCCTCTGAGCACTTCGTGGAAACCACAACAGGTTCTTAGAACATTGCTTGGTGGGGCTCTGGGCACGCCAGGACGCTTCTAAGGGAACAAAAAATGGCATAAACATAAAACTCGGAGGTCCGCGCGGATTTCTCGGATCGGCGCTGGACCCCCCTCCCTGGCGCGCGGAGAGCGCCAGGGGCGGCGCTGGAGGCGCCGCCGGGGGGCCCCAGCGCCGATCCGCGAAATCCGCGCGGACCTCCGAGCTGTCATGTTTATGCCACTTTTTGTTCCCCTCGCCTCGCCGCTGCTTGAAGCTCTCTTTCTCGCGCCTGGGCCCTCCGGGGGACCTCTCCTCCGAGAGGCCCGCGCGCCGCGCATCACCGGGGCCACGGCGCGCCGAGGCGGAGAGCGCCGCGCCGCCCAAAAACGCCGGGCGCGCGCCGCGAGCTCGCCGGCCAGCCTCAGGTCGGGCCTGTCCGCCTACAGGGGAATTCTGGAGGGAAAATAAAAGATAGCAAGCAAACGGTCAAAAAAGACCCAAAAATGGACACGTAATCGTCCCCCGACTATGTAGACTATGTTTTAAAACTACTTTTGAGTATTCCTCCTGTAGAGGGACAGGCCCGACTCCAAGCCAGCCTGTGGAGGAGACACGGCAATGGAACTTGTGAGTGCACGTCGGTCGGAGGAAGCAGGTAAAAGCATGCAGTAGGAAGGCGGATCAGATAGCTTGTGGTCAGGCCCCCCCCCAAGAGAATGCCAGAACACAGCGAAAGTGCGGCGAGGACAGGAAGGAAGCTGGGAATCCCAGAATGACTACTTCAACGACAGGCGTGTAGTTGTGCGTAGAGTTCCGTGACTGACCAATCACGTGCAGTCATTCTGCTACAAGCCCTGTGAAAGGAGACACGACAATAGAACGTCTGAGTGCAGTCGGACCTGTGCCAGAGGAACATCCCTCAAAAACATGAGGCCCTCCGCCGGCCAAAACGAACCCAAGCCTTAGGATCACTCGAAGGTACCCCCCATGATGTCCAAGAACATCCAACAGGAACGAAGATCACCAGGGTGCCCTCGCCGAAGCGGCCTCGATCTTATACCTCGGTCCGAAGTAGGTAGGAACGTGAAGCAGAAAGGCGGATCAAGTAGATTGTGGTCGGGCCCTCCCAGAGAATAACAATAGCACAGCAAAGGCACATCGATTGGAAGTATACTGGAGGAAATCTGGAAATCCCAGAATACCTCCAACCACGTGCGACAAGCAAGTGGTGTTTCCTTGCCACACACAAACAACTTCAACGTTCAATGCGGTGCCGATTTCTCTCTTCGAACTTCGCCGGTCGCACGATCAACATGGCAACGGGGGGGCCGGGGTGCTCACCAACCACCACTTGCTTTTCGCACAAGGCTGTACTTTCAACGACCGACGTGTAGAAGGGCGTAGGGCTTCGTGGCTGACCAACCGCGTACCGCCATCTATTTGCGGTGCGCACGAGGGGATATGGGAGAGGGGGGAAGGCTTCTTGGAAGGAGGCCGCTTCTTAGAAGGCGCCGGCCTTACATCTATAGAAATGGCCCGCGCCTTCTCAAAAGCAGGGGTGCTTCCAAGGAGCATTCCCCCCTCACCCCTGGAGACCGTTTTTTTGAATCAGCGATAGCCCGGGTTATCCCGGGAGGGGGGGAGGAGGGGGCCGGCCGATAACCTACCCCTCGCGCTGCATACGCCCGCGTCCCCCCTCCCGCGGGCCTGCACAACCGGCAAGGTTAGGCTATCCTGGAGGGGGGGAGGGAGGGGGGGGCAAGCCCGATAACCCGGGCTATCGCCCGACCGTAACTAAAAACAGCCTCCTGCCCCCTCTCTGCACGTGGCCGCGACCAGCCACGAGCCGCCCTCTCGCTGCCGCAGGGGGGGGGGGCGCCGCCGCAGGAGCGCATGATTGGGCGAGCAGGTTCCCCCCCGACCTGGACTCCTGCGGAGCGGCCCAAACACTAGAGCCCCTGGTGGCCTCGACCCTTCCTGCTCCTCCTCCTCCTCCTCCTCCTCCTCCTCCTCCTCCTCCCCTCCTTCCTCCTCCTCCTCCTCCTCCTCCTCCCTCCCTCCTCCTCCTCCTCCCTCCTCTCCTCCTCCTCTCTTCCCTCTCCTCCCCCTCCTCTTCTCCTCTCTCCTCCTCCTCCTCCTCCTCCTCCGCCCCCTCCGTCCCCTCCACCAGCTCACCCCCTCCGCCTCCTCTGCCCCCGCCGTCGTGCTCAAAGACCACATCGCAGAACTAATTTCGAGCACCCAAAAAAAAGTGTCGAAGCAGTGTCTGCCAGGCACGCTGGCGAGGTGTCGAAGGAACATCGCCTCCCAGGGCGCGACAAGTGAATCCCTCAAGTTTGGGTGCTTTCCTGGTGCTCGAAATTCTTTCTGGTGGTCGAGGCGAAAGCAGGTCCGAACATCGTAACCTTCTTTCAGCGCCTTCGCTGGAAGCTTGCATCGCTGATGCATTCGCGACGTCGGCGATGCATCAGCCCCGTAGGCGTAAAAACATCGGGCCCCACGTCGAGTCGCATCGCCGATGTACCGGCGATGCGGCGTCATCCTCCGACCCCAGCTAAGTGTTCGGACCCATCTGGGAGGCGTAGACCATTGTTCCCGTTGCTACTTCGCTCCTTCCAAGTACCGTGGATAAGTCTGGATGAATCTAAAATTAGGTTGGACATGACCCCCTACAGGCGGACTTTGGAACAACCGATAAGAAGAAATCAGCCATTTCTCCAACATGTTGTAACAGTTTGAGGGTTGGTTTCCCGACTATTTGTTTTTACTATGTTTGAACATTCTCCCTGTAGGGGGATAGGCCCGACTGAAATCTAAAAAAAAGCCTTCGAGAACCAGCGAGTCTCGAGCCTGTGTCGAGCGTCGGGCCGCTCCAGGGCGCTGGGGGAACGCGCCGAGATCGTTCCAGAACGCGCCAGTCTGGAGCTACTTACTCCAGATTTCTTAATAAAAGGGAGGGGGTCTGGACCCTCCAAGACAAGCCATTTCAGACCTCCCCCGTGGGAGAACCCTCCAACACATCGTCCCCAGACCCCCCAGGCCCTCCAAGATAGCCTGGGAGAGACCCCCCCAAAAAAATGAGACCCCCTCCCTTTATTACAAAAGCTGGAGTACCCTCAGCATGGGAAGAGACGATTGAGCGACAATCTAAAACGGCTCTTACGCGAGATGGCACAGCGACCTCACGCGAAGGCTTACGCGGGCCACCAGCGCGGAAAGTTCAGTGGAGACGAGGGCGCTTACGCGCGACCTTACGCGGGCAGCTGACTTGCGAATGTCGGCGCAGGCAACCCCGTTTGTTTTTTTCCGTCGTTCACATGGCCATACTCTTTTGAAGATCCGACGGCAATGTGTTATGTCTGCGCCGCCTCCTCCGACTCGAATCCCACGGTGCGGTTCCTAAAGGGACGTCGGCGGAAGACTTTTGAGACCGCGGCGTTGCACCTGAGACTTCGCAGTGCTACGATCCTCAATTGAGACTTCGCAGTTCTGGTGAAAACGCTACGCGACGACGACGACGACGACGACGACGACGACGACGACGACGACGACGACGACGACGACGACGACGACGACGACCTCGCGCGCGAAGCCGATCCGCCTTGAGAAAGCAGCATCACCCGTCTCAAAAACCCTTTTTCCCAAGGTCCCGTCTGGAACCGCATGGCCCCAGGGGGGCGCGCAAGGCGTCCCGCGCCGATCGAAGACGTCGACACCCGCGCGCACCGCCGAAAGCTTGCTCACCTGCGCCGGCGCCGCCCCCTCGTTCGACTCCCAGGCCTGGGCGGCCTGCCTGGGTTGCTCCGAGGGGATCGCCAGCTCTCGTCCACGGGCAGGCCCCCCGCCTGCCCGGCTCGCCTCCTCCGCGGAAGCATGCCGCGGGCCTCGCCACGCACCAGGCCCGCGGGGGCCTCGCGCGCGCCGGCGCTGCGCGGCCCCGCCGCCCGCTGATCGTCCGGCGGCAGGCCCCCCGCCGCCCGACGGGGGGGGGCGCCGACTCGCGCGCGCCTGGGCCGCGCTCGTGGGCGCCCGCGGGTCCGCCCTCTGGCCGGCGGGGGCGGGCCGCGCTCGCAGCGCATGCAGGCCCGCCGTCAGGCCTGATGCCGCCCGCAGCTGGGCAGGGGGAGGGGGAGGAAGGGGCGGAGGGGGCGGGGGCGGAGGGGAAGAAGGAGGAGGAGGAGGAGGAGGAGGAGGAGGAGGAGGAGGAGGAGGAGGAGGAGGAGGAGGAGGAGGAGAAGGGGGCGGAGGAGGAGGGAGGCGGCGGCGGAGAGAGAGAGAGAGAGAGAGAGAGAGAGGAGAAGGGGGCGGAGGAGGAGGGGACGGAGAGAGAGAGAGCTGCGAGAGAGGTCGGACGGCCCCGCGAGGCGCAGCCTTGCGGGAGGCGCGCCTCGGCGCTCGGCGTGCCGGCCTCAGGCCGCGCCCGTGGCGCCCTGCTGGTCGGGGCCCTCCAGCACTGCGGGGAGCTGCCGGGGGGGGGGAGGGGCCGGCTCTGTCGGGCCTGGCGAGGAGGGGGATATCGGCGGTGGACAAACCTCCCTTTAGTAAACCTCCCTTCAGGGAGAACGGCCTGGGACCGAAACCGACGGACCTGGACACGCAAAAGTGACGGCCGCGACGCCCTCTCGCGAACCGAAAACGGCCAATTCCTCAATCGACGCGTCAGGGTAGGAGGTCTGTCCACCTCCGAGGATGGCAAAGGGAGGGTCTGAGAATCAGCTCACGTATAGCTGATTTTCCCGGCGCCTCTTCCGGCGCCGGAGGGGGCCACGTATCGAGGAGTGGGCCCCTCGGTGGGGCTGGAACCAGCTGCACGCAGCAGATTTCGTGATCCCCCCTTTCCCTATCCCCCCTTTTCGTTCGGCCCTGAGGGGGGTACTGGGGCATGGGATAAGGAACCCTTAGATAAGGAATCCAGGGTCTGGACGCCAGCGGAACGCCAATCGTGGATCGGCCATGGGTATCACCGCCGCACTCACTGGATAAGGAATCCTGCAGGCTCTGGCGCCTTCTGAGACTCCTCCTTCACAAACGCCTCCACCGTAACATCCAGCGGGACTAAGCGATGCATCCCCGATAGATCGGCGATCACCCCCTGTGTGCAGGGTGGGCTCTTGGGCCCCTCTTGGCGATCCGTCCCTGAGCCGGTGGTTTTCGGGCCGTAGCTCCGCTCTCCGGCGGCCGTTCGGGACGACCTGGGCACCCCAGAAATGCTTTCTCGGCGAGGCGCAGCCGCTGAAAAAAAAACACCTCGAGGCTGGCCACCCGCCGCAACCGTCGACAAAAGCCCGAACACCTCGAGCCCGGAACGCTCCCCCCCTGCGCCGATCTCCCCCCTGGCGTTGCACCACGCCGCCCACCGGCGCCCGCGCTCGGTCGGGCCGCCCGGTCGACCAGCTCCACCTCCAGGCCGGCGCCCTGTGCGCCCGGCGGGGGCGTGAGGCGCGGGGGCGCGAGGCGAGGGCTCGCCTTCGCGGCCCGCGGCCTCGCCTTTACGGCCTCATGGGGGAGCCAACAAAAATGCCGATGTGCCGCGCAGCGAGGCACGAGCCGGAGTGCCGCTGCATGGGAAGGGGCCAATGGGTTCCTCAGAGTCTCCACGAAGCTCCTGTCGGGCCCCCAAAAGGTCCCAGGAAGCCCCCCCAAGGCCACAGGAAGGCCACAGGAAGCCCCCAAAAGGTCCCAGGAAGGCCACAGGAAGCCCATCGAAGGCTCCCAGGAAATTCCCAGAAGGCCAACCGAGGGCCTCGGGAGGCCTACTCGTTTCCTCCTTCCTCCTCTTCCACCTCATCACCCTCTTCTTTCTCCTCCTCCATCATCTCGCTCTCCCAAGCGTTCCCCCATTGGGTTCTACAACAGCTGGGGGAAGCACAGTGTCCCATACCACGAATCCTAAGACCTCTCCTGGGGAGCTTGCTGACCAGGATTTCCAGGAATGCCCAGCCGTGCCGACGAGATTCCTCACAGGAGGCCCAAGAAGGCGAAATCGGGGGGAAGGTGACGGTATCGAATTGTTGGTCCGTGCCTCGTCTCATCTTCGGTTGGCCTCCTGAACGGACTTGTATGGGACGCGCAGAAACATACTAATACTATATGTCCGCCTTGGAGGCGCGCGTCCGACCCGAAGATATAGTATACCCATCTTGTGGTAGATCTTTTCCCGAGCGGTGTGGCCAGAAAGCGCCCGCCACGACGCATATACTATAAGATTTCTCGGTGCGCGCGTCCCCCCCGGGGTGGGCGACGCACATCTAGTATAAGTATGTTGGGGTGACGCCGATAGTCGCCACGGCTGGATTCGCCTCGAAATCCTGGCCCGAACGCATCCTGGGAGCGGCCTGGGCAGCAGTGGCATCGGTGCAGCTTCCTCCTCTGGGCCTCGAGGGCGCCCTCGTGCACCCAGCCGGTGACGACCCCGCCGCCGCCCTCGACGCGCACCTCGCACTGTTTTTGCCGTCGGCAGAGCGCCGTGGCCGAGAGAGGGTGGGGAGGAGGGGGAGCAGGGGGAGGAGGAGGAGGAGAAGCAGGGGGAGGAGGAGGAGGAGGAGGAGGAGGAGGAGGAGGAGGAGGAGGAGGAGGAGGAGGAGGCAGAGGAGGAGGAGGAGGAGCAGAGGAGGAGGAGGAGGTGGAGGAGGAGGAGGAAAAGGAGAAAGATGAGGGAGGAGGATTAGGAGGAGGAGGAGGAGGAGGAGGAGGAGGAGGAGGAGGAGGATTCGAGGGAGGAGGAGCAGGAGGAGGTGGATTAGGCGCAGGGGGGCGGAGGCGGTGGAGGGAGGGGGGGTGGAGGGAAGGGAGGGACGGAGGGAGGAGCGAAGAGCAGGAGAGGGCTGAAGGCCGAAGGCGTGAAAGTCAGGTCACTGCCAGGCGACGCCGCACGGGAGAATAAGGAACCGAACTCTACACACCGACGCTTTTTCCGGCGCTGCATTGAAATCAAATTCGCACAGGAGACAGGATCCTGATGTATACGGGATCCTGGGCTGGAAAAACAGCCCGCCACTGGCAGTGTGTATGTGCTCCAGCCTCCCATGATGGGCGTGTTGTCCACCACCACCACCATAAGTTGGAGGGGAATAGGATCCTCCTCCTCCTCCTCCTCCTCCTCCTCCTCCTGCTTCTCCTCCTCCTGCTCCTCCTTCCTCCTCCAACTTATGGTGGTGGTGGTGGAAAACAGGCTCCAGCCTCCCAGGGAGGCCCCCGCTCCGCGGGGCCAGACGCTGCGACAGGCGGGGCCCATCAGGGTGAGGCCGCGGGCCGCCGGGCCAGCCGGGGAGGCCCTCCGCGGCGCTGCCCGCCGACCACGTCCAGGCCTTTGGGCAGGGCCCCGCCTTCCCAAGCCGAGTCCGAGTGTGGCGGCACCGTGCACGTCGCTCCTTGCTGATCGTGCTCGTCTCTCATTTAAAGGGGAACTGGGACGCGCAAAGAAATAGACACAACGAACCAGGTTCCCCCATATCTTCCCACATGTTCTGGGTTGCTGTCTTCCCCCCACGTCCCATATTTTCGCATCTTTCTGGGGAATCGACGATTACTTGTGTCTGTGTTTTTTCCCCTCCTGATAATTGTGCTCGTTTCTGATTGTTCCTGGCCCCCTAATGGCCAGGAAGAGGCCCAGGATAGAACAATTGAAACTGAAAAGATCTTGGCCCCCCAAATAAGGACTTTCGAATAATTAGAAAAGAACAATGTGTAGGCACCCAGCCGAACAACCGATTGACTGTGACAGCAAAGGCGCGCTCGCTCAGGGGCTGTGGTGGCACCGTCGAGGGTCCTCCAGGTCTCTTGCACTAGCGCGTCGACGACCACCTGCCTGTCCGCCGTCCCGACCTGATGTGCAGACTTGCAGATGTTCAACAGCATGTCGCCCACGTACTTCTCAACTGAACTTCCGGATAATGGATACCACGAGCTTCCTCCCAACGGCCTACTCTTGCGGATGCCATGACAATGGACACTCTCTAACAATCCGATCATTGACTTAAACATGCATCACACGTATGTAAAACATGTTCTAAACATTTTTCAGACGTGTTTTTAAGATTCAAAAACATGCTTGAAACATGCGTTTGACTTTAGGAAATGATTTGGCAGCATGCTTCCTCTCCATTAACCGACTTCCACAAGCCTACTCGACCTCCTGCCTCAGGCGTTTCACCATGCCGTCGTCGTCAGGCTCAAGCTCGATCGGCGGCGTGTTGGGATCCTCCCGGGCCGCGTCACGGCCTCCGGGATACTCCCCCTCCTCCCCCTCCTGGAAGAGCGTCTCCTTTGAGTGCTTGATACCTTTGCCCGAGACGTCCCTTCCAGCCTCCTCACCGGAAGCCATCCAAAAAACTTCCTTGCCCACAAAGCGGCTCCGAGTGGTCCGCGATCTCCGTGGCCAGGCTGCTGCTGCTGAGGCCGTTCGCCCAGCGACGCCTGGTCAATCCAGGCACTTGGGGCGCAGGGCAGATTGGCCCGACATCCTCTTGTAAATATTGGGAGAGTCCCGGGCGGCCTGGCCGTTTCAGCTTTCGCCTTCGATCTCCCCGTGAAAAAGCTCGAAGAATCCTCAGCGGCCTGTTCATTCGAGCTCTCGCCCCCGTCCTTTTTTTCCAAAAGGTCGACGCTGCAGAAATACACCAAGTCCTCCCCTCGCACCAGCTTCACGCTAGCCTCGTGCAGACGGTCGTCGGTCCACTCATTCACCCCTTCGTCCTGGAACTCGGTGGAGCTCGCAACCATCACATTCGTGATGCAGGTCTCCTCGATCGGCTGCCCGACGACGTCGAACAAATTTCCAATTTCCACGCGGCCTCGCCCTCGCAGTCGTTGAAAAGGTAGCGCTCTATCCCTCCCTCCACAACTGTTGGTGTCTGTTGTCCTGCTTCCGCTTCTGGCCGTCCTTCTTCCCGACATGTATCATGGATTTCCTCGTCCCGTACTCATGCCACTCCTTGGCCTTGTCCCGCTTGGCCTTGCTGGGTTGGCTGCGATACACCTTCGGCGCCTGCAGCTGGCGGTTCGCCCTCGCACCGCTGGTCTCGTCCGAGCCCTCCGACACGTCCGACGCGGGCGGGTCCTTGTTCGGCCTGGTAATTCCCGCCGAACTGGGCTGGCGGCGATCCCGTGGCGACTCCGACTGCGATTCCTCTCGTGCTGCTCCTCCTTCTCATCCTCCATGCCGTCGTGCCGCTTACGCCACACAGCTTGCAGACTTGCAGCTGCATGCCCGCGTTCACTGGTATGAGGAGCGGCTGCCGCGCCATCTCGGGGGCCTCGGACTCGGCCTCCCCCTGGCGCAGCCGCTGGACGAGCCCTCCATTGGCCTGCGTCACGATGCTCGTCAGGAGCGCCTGCATGCCCGTCCGCATGGCGTCGGGCACCGCCTCACCCCCCCCCCCTCCCCTGGAGTCGGGCCACATCGGCGGACCAAAGTGTCCCCCCACCCTTTCGGTCCCAACGAGCGCGCCGAAACAGATGGAAATCTATGATGAAGGCCTCCCGGGCCTCCATGGGGGCCCAAGAGAGCCCCAGGACGGTTCAATGCAGCTTCCCCCACCACGGCCCAAGGACAGCACCGCCGCAGAAGAAAAGCACCGTGAAATCGGATGCTTCCTTCGCGCCGAGACGGGCTCGCACGTCGCCGCGGCATGCGCACCAGCGCTCTGCAATCTGGGGGGGGGTGGCAGGACCACGCAACGCAGCCCGCGCGCCCGCTCGCTGGAGCCCCAGACGAAGCGGCGAGGAGGAGAAGGACGAGGAGGAGGAGGAGGCGGAGGAGGGGGGAGGGGAAGGGAGGAGGGGGGGAAGGGAGGAGGGGGGGAAGGGAGGAGGGGGGAGGGGGAGGGAAGATTTGTGTAAACAAAGACCTGCGCCCAGATTCAACGGGCGACTGGCAAACACCCTCCTTGGCGCTGGACCCACACTGACAAATTGACCTGCGTGTCAGGTCTCCCGTGTGAGCCAGAATGTCGTCAACATCTGCCAGTTCGAGATTAAACCGCATGAGGGCCAGTCCCTGCTGAGTAATGAATGCCTTATGACAGGAAGATGACAGAAAGACGCTCAGAAAGATGCTCAATCACAGCGAAGCCCTGGGTCATGCCTCCACTTTGTCACCCTCTGTCTGAAACTTCTTCGGATGCTTACCCTTGCAGATGAGCTCCCAGTTATCAAGAGTGTGGCGAGTCTGGACGAGGGCAAGCCTGTGGTAGCCCTCGATTCACATCTACACTTCGGACAGACCGTCAAGTGCGCGCAGTCACTGCACTCCAGAGACCTGCAAATACGGTTGGGCGCCCTGAGAGGGGCACTATCGAGCCCATGCGTCTCAAAGCAAACACAAGGCGCTGGGGGAATCGTTCCCCTCTGGACTCGATTCCATTTCCCACACTAGAACCACCTGCGCAGCCACTCCCACTCGTGCCCTGTAGGGGGGGGGGAACCTCAGGACGTGCATGGCGAGGGGGACGGACCAACTGAACCTCGGACAAGTCCAGCCGCGGCCACAGTGCGAGCAGCGCGGCCGCCAAGTTGCAAGCCTGCCTTGAGACCTTGATCCTACGCCCAAGCTCCTCTTCCGCCTTGGGAGACCACGGCGCATGCATCGCAGCTCCAACTCTCGCGGCGGAATCGGCGGCCTCGTTTCCAAGCCGCCTCCGCCGCTCAGAACACTCCAAGCCCTCCTCCCGTCAGCGCAGAGGGGGGATGGGGGCGGGGGAGGGGAAGGAGGAGGAATGAGGGTGGAACGTGCACCTCGTACAGGGGCGCGGAGCGGCGCAGGACGGCGACGGCGAGGCCAGCCTCCAGCGGCACCTTGTCGGGGCAGGCGCACCGCCAGCCCGAGCAGTGCTTGCGGGAGCCGAGGTGGAACGCCAGCCTCCGCAGGCAGGTGACCAGGGGCCCGCAGCTGGTGCGCGCAGGGTCGGGCGGCGAGGCGTGCCTGGAGGAACAAGGAAGGCATCGGCACAATGTAGGGGGCGTCCAAAAGGGGGGGCGTCCAAGAGGGGGGTTCGCAGATCATGGCCCGATGCGTGTGAACGGCCCAGGGGGGGGGCCAAGGGCCATGAGATCTGGAGAGACATCATGGCCCCAGCCATGATACCCACCCACCCTGTCAACCCCCTCATCGGAGGTCCGCGCGAATCTCTTGGATCGGCGCTGCCCCCCCCCCCCCGCGCGCTCCGCGCGCCAGTTGAGGGGCGCCCCTCGCGCTCCGTGCGCCGAGCCAGGGAAGGGGGCGTCGATCCAAGAAGTCCGCGCGGACCTCGCGGGGGACCTCTCTCCTCCTCCTCTCCTCCTCCTCCCTCCCTCCCCTCCTCACCCTCCTCCTCCTCCTTCCTCCTCCTCCTCCTCCTCCTCCTCCTCCTCCTCCTCCTCCTCCTCCTCCTCCTCCTCCTCCTCCTCCTCCTCCTCCCTCCTCCTCGCTTGTGCCGTTTGTCTGTTCTCTTCGAGTGCCAAGCAGCTCTCAGGTTGACCACCGCGGCGTCGGGGCTGGCCGCCTGGATGCAGTCCACCGCCACGCGGGTGCGCATCATGGCCCGCTCTTCGGGCATGGTGCGCCAGTATCGGAGGAACGCCAGCTCGTGCTCGAGCCGGAACGCCATGTCCCGGTCGCGCAGGCGCGGGACCAGCGCCGTGGCGAGGGTGAGGCAGCTCCACGCGAGCGGCGACAGCAGGCAGAGCGACAGCGCCAGGCCCGCGAAGAGGAAGCTGCCGCGCACCGACACCAGCACCATGATGCAGAACGCGGCCAGCAGCGCCGCGAACGTGACGAGCGCGTCCCACTGTCTCCGAGGATTCGTGATAGGATGCGTCAGCTGGAAGAGCAGCATCCCAGCCGCGCCGGCCGCGCCGACGGCCGCCTGGTGCCCGGCCCCAGCGGCGCCTCCAAGAGAGGGGAGGTATGCAAGCGTCAGGCCGAAGAGCGCGTTGCTCACGTCCGCTTGCCAGAAAGTCTGCTGGGTCACAATGCTCAAGCCCGCCAGCAGAGGGTGAATCCTGTCTCCCTTCCAGCGGGCGGCGACGCAATTCTTCGTTAGGTAGCGCTGCGTCCCCTCGTCAGAATGAGAGAAGGCGGGATGTAAGGGAAACGGGTCCTGGACGCCCCAGGGACTTTTCCCCAGGATCACATGTTCAACCTGACCCACGGACGGCCCCGAGAGCTCGAAAATGGCAGAAAAGCGCAGGACTCGTTTCCCTCAGGACCCGTTTGCTTCATGGCGACCTCGTCTGGACAAGAGCCGACAGTTGCTGGCTCGTTAGGTCCATCCGGCGATTCGGCCGTCAGGGCGTCGACGAGGCGCTGCAGTATCAGCTTGTCGGGGTGCATTACTGCGACGCGACGAGCCCCAGGGGACTCTGTCCAGGATACGCAAGAGCTCACGACATCCACCTTGTTCTTAATCAGCTCAACCTTTAGGGGAACAACCGACAGAGTAAGCATACACTTTCGGAGGCCCAAAAGGATTTCTCAGACCTCCGCTGGACCCCTTGCACTGGCACGCGGAGCGCGCCAAGTGTGGAGCCAGAGTCGCCAGCAGGGGGGGGGGGGGGGGCAGCGCCGATCCAAGAGATCCGCAAGGATCTCCGACAGTTTATGATTATGCAGTTTTTGTTGAAGGGGCCCTGGGCCATACAAATAAATACACACAAATACAAGGATCCCACATATGTTCTAATTTTTTGTCTGGGTTTCTGGTTTCCCCCCCACTGCCCATATTTTCCAATACTTTCTGGGGAATCGACGATTACTGTAATTGTGTCTGTGTGTTTTCTTCCTCCTGGTTTTATTTTCCGAGCCTTGATGACTGCCAGCAGCCAGACCATTCTGGCGTCGAGTGCGGCCTCGATGGCGATAGGATCGCCGCTGCCCTGCAGCTGAATGTGGAGCGCGCCAGCGGTGCCGGAAGGCGATGCCACGGACACGGTCACCAAGACGTCCCTGAGACCACGGGTCAGCGCCTTGAAGCGGTCCTTAGGATGCAACTACTGGGAGGTTTTCGTCGGAAAGTTTAAGGAGGATTAAGCCCCATTTGGGAGCTGTTACGCCGGAGTGGGCCTCGGATTAAGCGGGATTCAACAAGATTTAGAGAAATTAAGCGGAATTAAGCGAAATTAAGCGGGATTAAGCCGTATTTCGGACCAGGGCAAAATCAGAATTTGACCTCCCAGGAGTTGCATCCGAACGGTCCATCGCCAGCCGAGGTGCGACTATCAGGCAGCCGCCGTAGAAGAGCATGAACGTCACGCCGAGGAGTCCACAGACGATGCCCTCTTTGTGCTCGCACCGGATGGACGGCAGCCTGGTGAGCCGGGGGCCCCCCTCGCCCTCGCCAAAATCCGAGTCGCAGGTGAGCATGTTGGACACCGCAAGGCAGACGCCCACCAGCGACACCTTGACGATGGGAGGCACCACCATCGCCATGAAGTACTTGCACCTGTACGGGTCCTGGCGGGCCAAGACCCAGATGAGGCCGCATGCCGTAAGAACGGCGAGGGCGGGCGTCACGAGGTTCATGGCCTTGGGGAGCGATGGCAGTATCACTGACACGCCGCTGTGGGGAACCCTATCAGAGTGTTAATGTTGAGCCAGCAGCAGGCCTTCGCACATACACAGGGAAGTGACACACTGACGAGCTAACGACTTCAGCATGTCATTGCTACTATTTCTCTCTCCCGATGACCAGGAGTGCTCGCTGGGAGGCCTCGAAGCCGAGTAGGCAGTCCGACTGCAACATGCTGTGCACCGCCCCGAAGTCCACCAGGAGGATGGTGAGTGGCTGGAGTCTGGTCGGCACCGAGGACTTCGACTGCAGCCTCCCGAGGAGGCCGATGAACTGGTAAGCACGATAAGCCTCGCGGGCGAAAAACATATCCGTATCCGCGACCTCTCTGGACTGGCCCCTGGACCGCGACCCCGCGGACACGGGAAGCTTTTTCGCGGATGCCCCGCGCGGAACGTATCCGTGCGACCGCGTATCCGCGGGATCGCGCCACGGGATCCAGACCGCGAGGGCGCGGATACCGGTATGTTCGCCGCTCTTGAAGGCCGCAGCCACACTTATCACGGCCATCCTCTTGGCGACCCCGTGCTCCGACGGCAGCTCGGCCCTCTTGAAGATCCGGGAACGCGCCTTGCGTTAAGTCGGGCGTGTCCCCCTGCAGAGGGATTTGCGACGGAAATAAAAGCAAGAACTGCTCCAGAAATAGTCCCCAGATTACTCTTTTACTATTTTTGAAGATTCCTGCCGTAGAGGGACGGGCCCGACTTACGCCTTGCGGAGTGCGGCCGCGGAGGCGCCGAGAAGGCACACGGCCAAGACGGCGATGGCGGCGCGCTCGGCACGCCCGCCCGGCACGCAGGGCAGGCAGTCGCGCCCGCTCCTGTAGTGGCGCGGGCTCTCCTTGGCGGCGCGCACAAAGGGGGGTGGTGGGAGGGCGAGGGGCTTCCCAGGAGCCCTCTGGAGACCGTTTTTTTTTTGAATCGGCGATAGCCCGGCGTATCCCGGGGGGGGGGGAGGGGGCCGGCCGATAACCTAACTCTCGCGCCGTGGGCAGCCCTGCATATGCCCGCGCCCCCCCCTCCCGCGGACCTGCACATACGGCAAGGTTAGGTTATCCTGGGGGGGGGGGGAGGGGGGGGGCAAGCCCGATGACCCAGGTTATCGTCCGATCCTAAAAGGCGCAGGATAACAGTCTCCTGCTTCTTAGAAGGCGCAGGCCCTACATCTACAGACAAGGCCCGCGCCTTCAAAGAAGCAGGGGTGCTTCTGAGAAGCCTTCTCCCCTCCCGCTACCCCCCTCTGCGCGCAGCTGATCTCCAAGCACATGCGGCACTTCGGGCCAGCGTGACCCCGCCTGCAGTAGCCATCCGGCTCAGCCCCGGAGCCCCCCTCGCACGGGCTCCACTCGTCCTCTCGGGACGCTCGGCAGTCCATGATGTGCAGTGTGGTGAGATTGGGTCTCCAGTGGTGCTGCCGCAGACGCAGGTTTCTCAGACCCACCGCCCATGACGTCGCGGAGCAGTCAGCGCCGTACACGTCTCTGCACAGCGTGCACTCTCCTGTGCGTTCGTTCGGGTCAGTGCTGGTGCTGTCGCTGAAGTCCGGCGAGAAGAAGTGGCCCCTGGGGCACGATACCCACGGGCAAGAGAAATTCTCGCCACGCTGCCACGCGTCTTCATCCGGCAGGATGGAAGCATTTGCTGGGCAGTCGGCGGTGACCGTGACGACTCCATGACCAACGACGCTCGTGGACTTGCTCAATTCTCCCGTCAAAGGATCAGTCCAATCTACCTTCATCTCGAACGGGAAACTGGCGTTCACTGGGGCAGGAGGCAGGAAAGCGGCTAGAAATGAGGTCGCCATGCCGCCCCTGACGGCCACGCACGTGAGCGCATCGGCGGCCTTCGCGATGCACGTGCGATCGACCAGGTCGGCCATCGCCCGCTCCTTGGGAGGCATCGCCGCCAAGACTCTCGCCGCCGCTGTCTTGTCCCATCGGACCAGCTCCGAGGAGAACCTGGCGATCGCCTGATCCTCTTCGACCACCACGTCGCCGAAGGTGTCGACCAGCTTTGCGGAGATGGCGAAGCGAGCCACCGGGGCCTCCGAGGCGGACAGCAGCCTGACCCTGACGGCGCTGGAGGCAATCCCCGGCCCCCGAGGCGCCTCTTGAGCAGGGACCGACCGTCCCGGCATTCCTACAGTCCTACCACGAAATGTGCTTAGAACCCAAACATGGCCCAGTAACAAAAACATATGTTCTTAGACCATTCACCCGATGTGTTAAAACAAGACAGTCCCAGCCAAAAATGTTCCAAGAACATGTCGCGGGAACCACAAAAGGTTCTTAGAGCGTTCTTTGGTAGGACTGTAGGCACGCCAGGACGCTTCGCCACTGCTGGAGCCTCGTTGCCGTCCGGCGCCGCGCGCAGCTCTCCGAGGCAGCCTGCGGCGGCTCTGCTGAACCGGTGGCGGGGGTCCAGCCGCAGGTAGACCCCGCCGCCGGCGACCTGCCGAGGGGGCAGGCACAGACACGGGAGAGGAGGGACGAAAGGAAGGTCTGCGAAGGACCGAGCCGAAGAGAATTTGCGATCAGCCGATGAGAGAGATTGGGGGGAGTGGAGCAGACAGTCTCCAGAGGTCCTGAGCGAGTCCTGCGAAACGGATGATCACAGGACGATCGAAGCCAATGAATGGCCAGGAAAGGGAACCTTGGGGGGTTGCGGGGGGGACGTGGACGGCAAGATAACTGTGCTTAGGGGGGCGCTACAGAACACGAAGGCTAGGCACATTATATCTGAAGATATGACATAAACGCACTGCGTCGGGTAAATGTGGGCGGGGGTATGGTTAATGGGCACGTCCGTGTTACAATATCTACGACGACAAACCTAGAATCAGTCTCGGGAATGATTTCAGAGAGTCAAAGAATCTTCTGAAATTGAAGTGTCCTTAACACAGCGCTGCGACTCGAAGTGGGGAGCTACTGCAGGAGAAACTTGTTAGGGAACAATAGATTGGGCCCGGGGAGACTGCGGTCTAGGCGTCAAGACATTCGGGGGCGACGATAGGGGCGAACAGCCGAGGGGTGGGCGTTACACGTATTCGCCCAGGAGCCTCACCGAAGGCATGTACCATCGGCGCCCCTAGATACATGTATTGCCCTCCCCTGGGCTATTCGCCCCTATCGTTGCCTCCGAGACATGAGCGTATAGCAATGCACTGAGGGGCAGACTCATGGGGAGGACAAAGCTAAAACGTCAAGATCGGGCGCACGGGGCATAGTTTTTTCCTCGCACAGCTATGCAGCGACATCCGCAATGCTCTGCAGCGTATTAGCATGGCTCTGCTGTGGCAGCATGGCTAGCCGAATACCCCACCATGGATTCGCCTGCTGACCTTTGAGCGGCAGAAAGGCGCCGAAGGCCCTTCGAGTCCGTGTCAAAATCTGGAACCACGTCTAGACCCGTCGCCCGAGGAGGGGCAAGCGAGGAGGAAAGAAGACAAAGGGGGAGGCGGGAGAGGAGCAAGGGCGGCGGCGGTCGTGGGGCGAGCGCAACGGCGCGCTCAGAGCTGCCCGCAGTCGGAGATTACCACGGGCTTGCTGCACTTGCCGGACTGCGAGCCCACCGCCTCGGCCTTCTTCACGACGTCCATGCCCTCGGTCACGGAGCCGAAGACGACGTGCTTGCCGTCGAGCCAGGCGGTCTTCACCGTGCAGAGGAAGAACTGCGATCCGTTCGTGTTGGGGCCCGCGTTCGCCATGGAGAGGATGCCAGGGCCCGTGTGCTTGAGCGTGAAATTCTCGTCCGCGAACTTGCTGCCATAGATGGACTCACCGCCCGTGCCGTTGCCAGCAGTGAAGTCGCCGCCCTGGCACATGAAGTCTGGGATGACGCGATGGAAGGAGCTGCCTTTGAAGTGCAAGGGCTTGCCCGACTTGCCCGTACCCTTCTCCCCGGTGCAGAGGCAGCGGAAGTTCTCCGCGGTCTTCGGGGCCACATCGGCCCTGAGCTCCATGACGATCCTGCCGGCGCTCTCTCCGCCAATCGTCATGTCGAAGAACACCTTGGGGTTGGCCATCGCGGCGAAAGAGGCGGCACCACGGGAGCTCGCAAGGCTTGAAATCTTTTCGGGAACGCTTGAGCCAAAATGGCTACGGATCGGGTGCACGGGACATATGAAAAAAAACATCGAAGGCAGTTCGGTGGAGCAGGCGCCGGGTCGGTAGTGGGGCCGCTCCATCCACGCAATGGCTTGTGCCGCTGGTGGGGCGCGGAGCTAGGCGGGAAGCCGCTAAGCGCGGCTGCGCAGCGCTGGGAGGGCGACGGCGTCGGTTCGAAGCCACGGCCCTCCAGAACGTCGGAGCATCGAGCACCGCAAGTTACGACCTTGTATACACTGGTGGAGCGGCACAATCATAGCAAAATCCCTCTGGGACCCGGGGGGGCGCCTTCATGTGACATATTATGATACGGATTCCTGGGCAATTGCGGTGGCGGCGGCGAAATTTCCGCTATTCTCGTTGAGTACGGCCCTTGCTGCCCGTGGCGCTGTGGGTTGTTGAGGCCCGGGCCTCCTCAGGATAGATGGGCGGCCTGCTCCAGTGCAGCAGGGCGTCTTCTATCGCGCGTCCCTGCTCAGTGTGCGCGCGGCGCAACCGAGCTAAGAGCACTACCCCAACATGTTGGCGCATGGCCGCGGACGGGGAACTCTGATTACAGCTGCGAGCCCCTTCCTGAACCGCGGGATGCTCGTTGCGAATCGAACGAATAATCTCATTTCTGTTCTAAAAACATACAGCGGAAGAGATATTCGAGCCGACTTTTGCACAACAAATGAACTTGACGTTGTGCTGTCTACGCATCCGCTTAAAACTTCCACGAACCTGCAAACAGACACCGTCGCACGATGCCCGAACGCAAGTCCCGCCGGCATCGTCAATGAATGTTTGTCCCAGTGGCATGTTAGCAAATGTTTTAGGTGCAAGTGTTGTCGGATGCCTGCATGACGCGTCGGCCAGAGTCTTCGGTGAAGTGCCTGGCGACGTTCTCAATCACTGGAATGCTGGCATGACACGAAACAAATCGTCACGAGGTTGAGGTTGAGGTTGAGGCGCGTTGCGGCGCGTTGCGGGCGCATCCAGGCCGACGGCAAGCAGCGAGCAAGCCGAGCCAGATGCAAAGGGTGCCCCTGCGGGAGCACGCGGATGCGAGTCGAAGGCATCGCTCGGGCAGAATCATCGCCCCAACGCCCAAAAAAAACATCCCTGGACACTCACTGGACACTCACTGCCGCCGCCGCCCCCCTCCGCGCGGAGATCCTGGGCCCCCATCCCTTCCCTGGCGCCTCCACGGGCGGCCGGCTCGCGCGCACGCGCCGCCGCGAAGCGTCGCCTCCGCCGCGCTCCCGTCCGCGCGGCGGAGAGCACGGCGGGCTCGGCCCGATACGGCGGGGGTCTTTGATGAGGAATTTATTGTTTTTGGGCAGCATGGAGGACCACTTCGTGAAATATTCACCTGCACGTGGGTACGTATACTACACTCGAGAGCTGACAGGTCACCAGTGCCTCGCTGTCACGCCGCAGAGCGTGATCCCACAATGGGTAGTATGCAGTCTTTGCTGAGGAACCCTCGGACCAGGCGGATCCTCGCGGGCCGGCGATGCGCGACGGAGCCCAGACGGGCCTCGCAGAGCCCATCGAGATGCGGCACCTCACCTGCCCAAAAACCCGACGGGGCCTGGCATCTCCCGCCAGAATACGTCGGACAGCGGGGCCCCGACGGCGACGGATACTAAATGCGGCACAGAGCATCTACAGAATCGCGCGCAGTCTGTGTTTGCAAGTGGCTTCATCGCGCACGCTGCCCGAGCCCGGCGCGCGCACGACTGCGCTACTGCTCCACGTTGTCAAAGAGATCTGAGGTCCGGCCTACCGCCCTTCCGCGCACGCAGAGTTGCATCCCGACCCGTCGAGAGCTCTTCTTCCTCGCCGAAATATACAACAAATGGCAAATCTGAATTGGCTCACTCGACGAAACTTTCTTCCTCGTCGAAACATAAAACAAGCTCTTCTTCCTCGCCGAAATATGAAACAATTGACAACAACAAGTGGCCGAGGTGAGGCATCGTAGTTCCACATGACCTAAGAACGAAAGGCGCATGGGACGGGAATCTACCGGCAACATCGCGAGCACATGGAGTAGGCCATGCAAATGTATGGGGCATGTCAAAAGAAAAAACAATGCGGGAAACACACATCGGAATCAATGTTATACCGTAGCACCGAGCAGGTGCGGATAAGAGTGAGGGGGGCGGTGGGGACGAACCCGCCGCAAGCGCCGATTTTTCGTTAAACCAATGTGGGTTGGTCGCGGGTGGGTTGCGGGTGGATCGTTGTTGGGTCGCGGGTGTAGGAGGGCAGAAAATCCACCCCAGAATCATCACCCCGAAAAGCGAAGCCGTTTAGCAAACGCACACACAGGGCAGGGTTGTTTCGTCAGCGCCCAGGGCCGCCTGGTAAGCGTCAATTGTCGGGTCCAAGTGGTTTTTCCTCCTTTGAGGTTGGGTCGCGGGGTGGGTCGCTGGTGGGTCGCGGGGTGGGTCGCGGATGGGTCGCGGATAGGTCGCGGATGGGTCGCGGTGGGTCGCGGGTGGGTCGCGGGTGGGTCGCGGGTGGGTCGCGGGGTGGGTCGCGGGGTGGGTCGCGGGGGTGGGTCGGGGTGGGTCGGGGGTGGGTCGCGGGGTCGGGGGTGGGTCGCGGGTGGGTCGCGGGGTGGGTCGCGGTTGGGTCGCGGGTGGGTCGCGGGTGGGTCGCGGGTGGGTCGCGGGGTGGGTCGCGGGTTGGGTCGCGGGTGGGTCGCGGGGTGGGTCGCGGGGTGGGTCGCTGTGTGGGTCGCAGGGTGGGTCGCGGGTGGGACGACGACAAACAACACCACCACCACCACCACCACCACCAACAACAGCATCGACAACAACGCAACAAGCAGAATTCCCACCACGAATTCTTTATTCAGCCACGCACCCAAGGACAGTGAATGACCACTCGGCCCCTGCATACTGACAAATGTTGCATGTACGTATGTGTATATATATATATATATATGTGTGCGTGTGTGTGTGTGTCAAAGTGAGGGGGCCGAGCGGTCATTCATTGTCCCTGGGTGCGTGGCTGGATAAATAATTGTTGGTGGGAATTCGGTTTGTTGCGTTGTTGTTGTTGTTGTTGTTGTTGTTGTTGTCGTTTTTTGTGGAATGTTAACAACTGAACAATCATCATTGTTGGACCCCCACCCAAACACTTTGACGCTCTCGCCTCGGCGCCGGCTAAACTTTCATTGGACATGAGGCTCACGCTCGAGCGGTTCGGGAGGGCGCCCAAACCGGACCAACAACCACGCTCCCGCTCGAGACGTCTTTGTTTTTTCCAACCATCCTGTGGTGTTGGGTCCTCACTTTGAAGAGACGGTGCGGCGCGTCTCCTCCTTCCTCCTTCCTCCTTCCTCCTCTCCTCATCCCCCTCGTTGCCTCTGCCCTCCTCATGGCTCTCTGTCGGCGCACCCCTCACACGTCTCGTGGCCCCATAGGGAACCCCAACTACGGTCCCAGTGGCAGAACTCGCATGGCGGCCTCGGGCCATGTCGGCACACCCCTCACACGTTTCGTGGCCCCATAGGATGCTCCACCTAATGTCCCAATGGCGGAACTCGCATGCGGCACTGGCCTCCATTTTGGCACACACTCACACGTTTCGTGGCCATTTCGGCACACCCCTCGCGAGGATCGTTGCCCCATAGGGAGCCCCACCTAAGGTCCCAGTTGCAGAATTCGCATGCGGTGCCCGCCTCCAGTTCGGCACACCCCACACGGGGATCGTGGCCCCATAGGGAGTTCCACCTAAGGTCCCAGCGGCGGAACTCGCAAGCGGCGCCCGCCTCCGTTTCGGCTCACCCTTCGCGCGTTTTGTGGCCCCATAGGATGCTCCACCTAAAACCGCAGCGGCGGAACTCGCAAGGCGGCCTCGAGCCATTTCGGCACACCCCTCACGAGGATCGTGGCCCCATCGGAGATCCACCTAAGGCCCCAGTGGCAAGGTTCGCATGGCGGCCTCGGGCACTTGCGGCACATCCCTCCCTAGGATCGTGGCCGAACTCCACCGAAGGCCCCAGTGGCAGGGTTCGCATGGCGGCCTCGGGCCACCTCGGCACACCCCATCACGAGGATCGTGGCCCCCTAGGAAGCCCCGCCGAAGGCCCCAGTGGCAGGTTACGCATGGCAGTTCGGGCGACTTCGGCAGGCCCTTCACGAGGATCGCGGCCGAGCTTCACCGAAGGTGCCAGTGGCAGGGTTCGCGTGGCGGCCTCGGGCGATTTCGGCACACCCCATCACGAGGATCGTGGCCCCATAGGGGGCTCCACCGAAGGCCCCACTGGCAAGGCTCGCATTGCGGACTCGGGCCATTTCGGCACACCCCTCACGAGGATCGTGGCCCCATAGGAGATCCACCGAAGGCGCCAGTGGCAGTCTCCCTCATGGCTCTCAGAGCCTTTTCCTGCTTCTGCTCCTCGGTCAGGGGGGCGCCGTCCTCGTCGTCGTCGGCGCAGCGAAGACGGCCGCGAACGTGTCCCTGAGCATGTCGGGCCCCGGCGGGAAGCCGCGGCCACAGAGGGAGCGTGGGCGAAGATGATCTTCACAATTGCGGTATTTACAACTGCATGTGGTCAGGTCTTTCGCCAAGCAAATTCACTCAGGGCTGGTGCTCTTGCTTGCCGCCAAAAGCCGCCGTCCCAATAAAACCAACGCTGCCGCTCGAGAGTTCCTCCCGTTTTACCTTGGACTGGCGCGATACTCTTTCTCTCATCGGCGCCGCCCCCAGCAACATCAACGCTCCCGCTCGAGCACTTCCTGCCTTTTTTTACGCCGCCGAACGCTGCCGTCACAACAAAACCAGCGTTCACGCCCGATTCTCCCGTTTTGCGCTGGATTCTCTTTTTCTTGAATCGGCGCCGCTCCCAGCAAGAACAACGCTCCCGCTCAAAGCTTCCCTCCTTTTTCCTCAGGACGGTGCTGCTCCTCGCCGCCGACAGCCCCCGTCCCGACAAAACCACGGCTTTCGCTGGAGACTTCCCCCCCGTCTAATTCAAGGCGGTGTTCGTCCTCGCCGCCGACGACCGCCATCCCAACCAAACCTGCGTTCCCGCTCGAGAAATTCGTTTTGTTTTACGCTGGACTAACGCCCTACTCTCTTCAGCTTTGGCGCCGCTCCTAGCAACCACAACGGCTCTGCTCGAGACTTCCTCCCTGTCTATTCAGGGCCAGGTCCTTGCCTCGCCGCCGACAGCCCCCATCCCAACCAAGGCAATATTGTCACTCGATACTTCCATGTGCTTTACCTTTGGCTCGGGATTCCGCTGGCGGTCTCGCAACGGCGCAGCAAGGCGCGGGCATGCGTTTTCGAGGCGGGATATGTTGACATTCCTCGGAGAAGATGTTTACATGACCTCACTGGGCGAGAGATTTGGGAATGGGAATTACGGACCCCGCTATGGAACAATAGTCCCCCATGATGGGAATGGTTACCATGACATGCTTCGTGTGGAACCATCGCGCATGACGGTGAACTGATAATTGTTGTTGTTGTCGTTGTCGTTGTCGTCGTCGTCGTCGTTCTTGTTGTTGTTGTTGTTGTTGTTGTTATTGTTGTTATTGTTGTTGTTGTTGTCGTTGTTGTTGTTGCTCTTGTTGTTGCTGTTTGTTGTTTGTTGTCGTCGTCCCACCCGCGACCCACCCGTGACCCAACCCGCGACCCAACCCGCGACCCACCCCGCGACCCACCCGCGACCCACCCCGCGACCCACCCGCGACCCTCCCGCGACCCACCCCGCGACCCACCCCGCGGCCCACCCGCGACCCACCCCGCGACCCACCCGCGACCCACCCCGCGACCCGCCCTCAAGGGAGGAAAAACCATCCGGACCCGACAATTGACTTTTACTAAAACGGTCCTGGGTGTTGACTAAGCAGCCCTGCCTTGTTCGATTCATTCCTTGTTCCTTGTGTGCGTTTACTAAACGGCTTCGCTTGTCGGGGTGATTATGATGGGGTGTCTGTTCTGACCTCTACACCCGCGACCCACCCGCGACCCACCCGCGACCCACCCGCGACCCACCCCGCGACCCACCTGCGACCCACTCGCGACCAACCCACATTGGTTTAACGAAAAAATCGGCGCCTGCGGCGGGCTCGTTGCATAATTTGTGGAACTCTGGCGCCTGCGGCGGGCATCTCCAGAGTCTCGCAAGCTGCCGACGTCCCCCCCTCACTCTCATCCACATCTGCGCGGCGCTACGTACGAACATGTTTGGTCTGCGGGTCGGGAGCGGGCCCCTTCCGGTCAAGAGCTAAACGGGACGCGGGTAGCCCTAATCGGGGAGCGACGTATGAACATGCACGTTCGTTTTCTCGGAGCGTGCTCGCACTTACGGGCTCCCGCTCCTGCCACGTGAGAAAGCGAAGGCGTAAGACGGGGGGGGTCGCCACGTTGCGGGCCCGTGCTGTCTCGTGGGCGCCGCTCGGTTCCGCCACGCTGCGGGTCGGCGCCGCCTCGTGGGCGCGTAGTGGGCGCCCCGCGCTTGGGGGGTCTGCCGAGGTTGCGCCACGCTGTCGCCAGTGCCGCCTCGTTGGTGCCTCGCGGGTGCCCCGCGCTTTGGGGAATGCCGAGAGACTGCGCCACGTCGCCGCTCGTGCCGCCTCGTGGGCGCCACGTCGTGTGCCTCACGCTGCCTCCCGTGCCGCCTCGTGTGTTGGGCGCCTCTTGGGCTCCTCGTGTTCCGAGCTTGCACAATCTATAGTACAGCGTTCACCACATCGATTGCGCCACATAGCTCTCACCGAATAGCTTACACCGTACAGCTTTCATGCCCAAATTCACACCGCATAGCTTTCACGGCATAGCTTATACCGCATAGTGTCCACCTACATAGCACTCACCACTGCTGCTGCTTACACGACATAGCATTCACCACATAGCTTACACCGAATAGTTCCCGCCTCCACATCTCACACCACGTAACTTTCACCGCCACAAAGCAACACCGCACTGTTGGGGGCCCACGCTGGCTAACCAATGCGTAGCACCCCGCAGATGTGGATAAGAGTGAGGGGGCGGTGGGGATGTCGGCAGTCTGCGATACTCTGGGGAAGCCCGCCGAAGGCGCCAAAGTTTCACAAATTATACCACGAGCCCGCCTCAGGCGCACTTTTTTTCGTGAAACCGATGTGGGTAAGTCGCGGGTGGGTCGCGGGTGGGTCGCAAATGGGACGCGGCTGGGTCGGGGATGAGTCGCGGGTGGGTCGCTGTTGGGTCGCGGGTGGGTCGCGGAGTGAGTCCCAGGTGGGTCGCAAATGGGTCGCGGGGTGGGTCGCGGGTGGGTCGCGGGGTGTGTGGCGGGTGGGTCGCGGGGTTGGTCACGCGTGGGTCGCGGGTGGGTCGCGGGTGGGTCGCGGGGTGGTTCGCGGGTGGGTCGCGGGTTGGGTCGCGGGTGGGTCGCGGGGTGGGTCGCGGGGTGGGTGACGGGGTGGGTCGCGGGGTGGGTCGCGGGGTGGGTCGCGGGGTGGGTCGCGGGTGGGTCGCGGGTGGGACAACGACAACAAACAACGCAACAAGCAGAATCCTCACCACGGATCGCCACTTCAGCCACGCACCCAGGAACAATGAATGACCGTTCGGCCCCCTCACTCTGCTAACCCCAAAGGTCAAGGAAACAGTGGTATAAGTGCAGGAGCATACGACAAAGAGACCGTGGGTATCTGAGAAATGAGATGCCGCGAACACGTGAACCTATGCGCACAACAGGGGGTTAACGTACGCGGGTGTCCCGGGGGGCCCGAAGCGCAGGAAATAGTATTGGAAATGGCAAGGAATTGAAGGCAATATTAAGGGGCAGTATATTGTGGTACGCCACAACAGAAGCATGGTGCTGCGAGAAAAATCAGCGGAGCCAGATTGGGCACGTAGGATAAGTAGATATAAGACACAAATGGAAGACGTAGCACCCCGCAATTGCGGATAAGAATGAGGCGGCGCCGATTGCTGTTGTAGAGTCAACGTGGGCCGGATCGGGGGAATGGCACGAGGGCGCTTTCCCAACCAATGCGAGCAAGCCCGCCGCAGGCGCCGATTTGCGTGCTCTGACAAGTTCAGCGCGGGGGGGATCGCTGGTGGGCCACCCGAAACGAATGCAAAAACAGCTCGCCGCAGGCGCCGAATTTGCGGCTAGTTCAGTGAACGTAGTTTGGGTCGCGGGTGGGTCGCGGGCTCGCCACCTCCACCTGGAAGGAATTCAAAAACAGCTCGCCGCAGGCGCCAAAAATTTTGGTTTGTACACTGAACGCGGTTTGGGTCGCAGGTTCTCCACCTGGAGCGAATGCAAAAGAAATCCGCCGAAGGCGCCGAAGTTTTGGCTTGTGCAGTGAGCGTAGTTTGGGTGGCGGGTGGGTCGCGGGCTCGCCACCTCCACCTGGAAGGAATTCAAAATCAGCCCGCCGCAGGCGCCAAAAATTTTGACTTGTACACTGAACGCGGTTTGGGTCGCGGGTGGGTCGCAGGTTCTCCACCTGCAACGAATGCAAAAGAAACCGCGCAGGCGCGAAAATTTTGGGTGGGTCGCGGGGATGGGTCGCGGGTGGGTCGCGGGTGGGTCGCGGTGGGTCGCGGGTGGGTCGCGGGTGGGTCGCGGGTAGGTCGCGGGGTGGGTCGCGGGTGGGTCTCTGATGCAAGAGAAACCCGCCGCAGGCGCAGAAGTTTTGGCGTGTTCAGTGAACGTAATTTGGGTGGCGGGTGGGTCGCAGGTTCTCCATTTGGAACGAATGCAAAAGAAACCCGCCGCAGGCGCCGAACATTTTGGGTGGGTCGCGGGGTGGGTCGCGGGTGGGTCGCGGGTGGGTCACGGTGGGTCGCGTGGGTCGCGGGTGGGTCGCGGGGTTGGTCGCGGGTGGGTCGCGGGTGGCTCGCTGGTGGTTCGCGGGTGGGTCGCCGGGGGGTCTCGGGGTGGGTCGCGGGCGGGTCGCGGGGTGGGTCGCCGGGTGGGCCGAGGGTGGGTCGCGGGTGGCTCGCGGGGTGGGTCGCGGGGTTGGTTGCGGGGTTGGTCGCGGGTGGGTCGCGGGTGGGTCGCGGGGTGGGTCGCCGGTGGGTCGCGGGGCGGGTCGCAGGTGGGACGACGACAGACAACAAACAACAACCAACAACCAACAACCAACAAACAAGAAATAAGAAACAAGAAACAAGAAACAAGAAACAATAAACAATAATCAAGAAACAAGAAACAAGAAACAAGAAACAACAACACCAACAACAACACTAACAACAACAGCAGCAGCAACAACAACAATAATCCACATCGCGGAATTCCACTTCAGCCACGCACCCAGGGACAGTGAATGACCGTTCGGTTCAGCCCCCTCACTCTGACAATAGTGTGGACACAGATGGAGCTCACGGGACACGAGATGGAGTGCACGAGAAAAAGCTAGCCCTTTCGCGTGCTCCTCCTCAATGATCTGCTGCGCTCCCTCCTGCTGGCCCAGACACACCTGACTCGCCGCCGCTCCCGCCCCAGGCACCTTCGCGCTGTTGCCGGCGATCCTGCCCTCGCACAGGAGGTCCCAGAGCGCGGACGAGCAGAGCGGGACGAAGGCGCCGCCCCCGAAGATGGCGACGTTGCCGAGGAGGCTCAGCCGTGGCCGGGGCGAGCCCCGCAGGTCCGTGGCCGTGCCCCCGTCCTCGAAGCAGACGCCCCCGCCGGCCCACTTGGCGATATTGCCCTGCAGCATCACGCCCTCCCCGAGGCGAAGGGTGTTGCCCGAACCTGAGGGGAACCCAAAGATACCGACACCCCTGATCCGCGGACGTTTCTTGCGGTGCGGTTTGTCCAAGACTTCGGGGCAAAGCCGCCCCTGGCGACGAGGGCCTCCCAGGAGGCCCCAAAGGCGAAATCGAGTGAACGGTACCTGTGTGGACACTTTCCCCCAACACAAGCAAGACGAACGATAGGATACATTTGCCTTCACTTTTGGAGGTCTGCGCGGCGATTCAGGATTTCTGGACACCTTTCCCAAGGCAATATAAACAACAATAGGCTGCATCTGAATCCCAGCGCCTCGGGGCTCCAGCGCAGATCCAAGAATTCCGCGAGGAGATCCGATAGTTCATGATTTTGCACAACATGTGCTCCTCTTCAGAAGACCAAGGGGCGGCATGAACATATTTTCTGACGGTCCGCGAAGATGCCTTGGATCTGAGCTGGACCCCCCTCCCAGGCGCGCGCAGCGCGTCAGGGGCGGCGCCGGAGGCTCCAGCGCAGGTCCAAGAAACTACCGCAGAGCGTCGAACGTTCATGTTGATACCGCTTTGTTCTTCTTCGATTCTTCGATCTCCTCCTCCGAGAACCGACGAGGATGGCCCCACCATTCTTGCCTCAGGGACAATGATCGGGGGGGACTGGCATAGGGGGGATGCATCGCGCTGGAAGCGGCGGCACATCGCCGATAGATTTAGGTCGGGCATGTCCCCCTACAGGGGGATTTTGGACGAGACATAAAACAATACCCCAACAATCCTCAAACAACGGTCAAAAATTCTACAAAAATCGTCCCCTGACTATTTTTTGACAATTTTTGAACATTCCTCCTGTAGAGGGACAGGCCCGACTTAACGATAGATCGGCGATAGGCCTCCGATGGTGCATCCGCACCCTGCTGGGCACGCTGGGCCTCTCGGGCCCCTATCGGCGATCAACGGGCGATTGGGCGACGATGCGACCCCCCTCTGTGCCTATCCCCCCCCTATCGCTTCCCTCGGTTTGCCTGCGGAGTTGCCGACGAATTCCACGCCGATGAGCTCCGGCTCGGTGCGCTTGCCCTGCACCGAGAGCCCGCCGCCGGAACCCTCGGCCAGGTTGCCGCGCAGGGTGCAGGCCTGGAACCCCCAGGAGGAGGAGGGGGAGGACGGGGAGGAGGACAAGGAGAGGACGAGAACGAGGAGAAAAAACAGGACGGGGAGGAGGAGAGGAGGACAGGAGCCGGACGACGGGGAGGGGAAGGACAAGACCAAGGAGGACGACAAGGCGGCAAGAAAAGTCCAGCGTAGAGGCCGAGGGGGAGGAGGAGGAAGAGGCTAAGGAGGACGAGTAGGACAAGGAAGCGGACAAGGAGGGCAAAGAGGCTGGCAGGAGGACGAAACCGAGGAGAAGGCAGAGGCCAGGGAGGAGGAGGAGGAGGAGGAGGGAGCGAAAGAAAAGGCACCCATTCTCGCCTCGATGCGGGGGACGGCGCCGGAATCGACGAAGAGGGCCCCCCCGTTGCCGCCCGCAGAGTTGCCAACGAATGTCACGTTGATGAGGCGCGCCCGCCTTATGATGATCGAAGGGTTCGCGGCCTCGGCAGAGCCGCCCACCTTGAGGCCGCCGCCCGACCTCTTGGCCCGGTTGCCCTCGAGGGTGCACGCCTCGCGGGCGTCGCTCGATATGCCCGGGGGGGTGGGGAATGTTTGGAGGCAACTGCTGGGAAGTCGTCGTCGGAAGGATTGGGGGTAATTCGCCGGCCCAACGGGCCAAGGGCGTGATAAGATCTCCGGCACATGGTTCACAATATTTCTAGCTCGCGCGCGCGGGGCCGCCCCTGGGGGTCCCTGGACGAAAAATACCCCCGCAAGTCCAGGCAAGGTCCCCGCAAGATCCCGAGCAGGTCCTGAGCAGGTCCTGGGCAGGTCCCCGCCAGGTCACAGCAGGCTCCCAAGAGTGCTCCAGGAGCGCTTCAAGTGGCCTCCAAGAGAGCTCAACATGGTCCGAGACGGTCCAAGAGCGATCCAAGACGCCAAATATTGCCTCCAGACAGCCCGAAGCGCCGTCAAGACGCCCCAAGAGGCCTCCAAGAGACCCCCCAAGAGCAGAAATGATTGATTTCCTTTTCAGTTTCTGCAGGTGTTTGGCGTTCTCGCCTTTTTCCGCTCACTGGCGCTACAGGACGGCCCAAGAGGCTTCCACGACAGCCCCAAGACTGCCCACGAAACCTCCAAGAGGGCCCCAAGACGGCCCAATGGCTCCAAGACAGCCCAGAGGCGCCCAAAACGGCCCAAGAGAATCCCAAAAAGGCCCCAAGAGGGGTCCAGGAACCGAAAAGTCCAGCCTTCAGCCCCAAGAGGCCCCCAGAAGGCCCCAAGAGGCCCCCAAGAGGCCCCAAGGGGCCCCCAAGAGGCACCCCAAGAAACCCCAAGAAGCCCCCGACAGGCCCCAAGAGACCCCAACACGGCCCCCAAGAGGCCTCAAAACTGCCTCCCAAAAGGCCTGTTAGAGGCCAACCACGAGAGCTTTACCAACATCCGTGAGGCCTCTGATTTGCCACCCACCGCTTCCGAAAAATGGCAGCCGCCCAACCGCACCGCATTGACAACAACACCCCGGCAAACGACAGCGGCGAGGCAACATGGACCGGCGGAATGAGCGAACCGAATAAATAAAACTCATTCAAGGGCGTCGTAGTCGGCCGCAGACTGATCGGAGTTAAGCCGAACTCAGGCGGACTGAGCAATACTAAATGGGATTAGGACGCCCCTGACCGGATTCCGGACCATGGCACAGTTGGAATATGACATCCGGATAATTGCATTCGAAAAAACGTGCGCATCCCGCCCTTCCGCGTGCGGACAAGAGGACCACTAGCCCCCCTCCCCCGACCGTCCCCCCCGGAGGCACCTTCCTCACTCATACGCTTTTGCGGGGAGTTGTTTTTGTTCCTACATGCCTCCAAGAGGCCTAAGACCATGAAGTCCCCTGAGAGGCCCCCGACGAAGCTAAATATGTCCGCCAGAAAAATCAAAGAAGGTTTCCAGAGCGTCAGAATCGTCGTTCCCCCTCTCAGGGTCGACGACACCCGCAATAAGGTGTTCCCAAATCATCGGATTGTTCGAACCCGTAACGCAAGTGCACGTTTGAAATCCCGCGTCAGAAACAATACGCGGAGAAGGCCGAATATCTTCGAAACGCATCTATACTATAATTCAAAGTATGGTTGCGTATGTATTTATGTATATACGTGTACATACAGGTACGCATACATGTGCAAACCAGAACCACGCGCGCTTCGCGCGTGCTTAGGTTCCAATTTACATCAAAACGATTTGCAACGCATGGGACATGAGAGCTGCGAACCTCATTGGGACTCGTCTTGTCCCGCAGCCGCGGGCCTCCGGGCAGGCGCCCCTGACCGAAGTGCCCCGAAACAGAGCATCAAAACCCAAACAGCCTGCGGGCCCTTCGGCGCAGCACTGGCGCGAACAATGCGCACAACTGCGTTGCTGTGGGCACTCCCAAAAACGGCACGGCGGAAGTGGGGGACGAGGGGGGACAGCGAATGCAGAGGAGCGGGAAGAGAAACGAACAGAGACAAACAAGATACCGTGCCGAGGATGGGCTGGCATCCCCCTGGCAAAACGGCAGCTCGCGAGTGCGCAGACGTATCAGACTATGTCCGAAGCGCTCGCGTGGAGGACCCGCGCGAACGAAGGAGGAGGAGAGGGGGGGAAGAAAGAAGCAAAACAAAGAGGAGGAAAGAAGACTCACGCCGCGGTCGCGGCGGGCGCGGGTGCGCACGTAAGCCCTGTCATGGCAGGCAGCCCCGCCGGCATTCAGGATAATAACCACATGCGCAAAGGGAAGCGACAGGCGTCATCAGCATCGTAATCCTCACCGTCACCAGCGAGGTCATCATGCGCATCTTCAAAATCACCAGCGACGTCATCATAATTCCGTAACAAATATCGATGTCACCACCCTCATTGTCGCCGTCGTTCTCATCGTCGTCATCATCGTACTCGTGATCGTGGTCGTCAACTCCGTCGTCATTGTCATTGTAATTTCACGTGTTCCGGAAATGCGCCTGGAAGCACGTGACATGGGGTTTGGCGAAAAACTCCATCATCATCACCATCATCACCATCATCCCCATTAGCACCATCATGACCATCATGAGCATACTCATCATCATCATCATCGTCATCGAAATTGCCAACACCATCGTCATTGTACGTGCTCCGACTGTCAAAAAATGCCATGCGGGGCGCCGTCATCGCCATCGTTGCCGTCGGAAGCGTCGC